CAGGGCCCTGCCCTTTGGCTTCCTGCCTATGGAGTCTCCCATCTAGTGTTTCCTGTCTTACTTCCCACTCACCTATGAGCTCCCTGAGGCAGGGACACTGTCCCTTTGTATTTCTTCCTCTTTTTTGTTTTTGTTGTTAATCATCACCTGAGGATATTTTCCCATTGATTTTTAGGGAGAGTGGAAGAGAGGGGGAGAGACTCACACATTTGATGTGAAAGAGACACATCCATTGGTTGCCTCCTGCACGCACCCAACTGGGGGTTGAGGGTCCAGCTTGCAACAGAGGTACATGCTGCTGGAATTGAACCCAGGGCCGATGCTCTATCCACTGAGCCAAATGGGCCAGGGCTACCCTTTGTATTTCTATCTCTGGTGCTCAGCACAGTGTCGAGCACAGTGGGCACTCAGTAAGAGAAACCAAGGAGACAGGGTGAAATTGTAGGACAGTGATGGCGAACCTATGAGACGTGTGTCAGAGGTGACATGCCAACTCAGTTTTTGGTTGATTTTTTGTTTGTTAAATGGCATTTAAATATATAAAATAAATATCAAAAATATAAATCTTTGTTTTACTATGGTTGCAAATATCAACAAATTTCTATATGTGACACGGCACCAGAGGTAAGTTAGGGTTTTTCAAAATGCTGACACGCCGAGCTCAAAAGGTTCACCATCACTGTTGTAGGATGTCCTTACCACAGACAATTTGGCCATTTTGGTAAGCAAAGTTGTATTTCAGAAACTTGGTGCCACATTTCTGCTTCTCCAGACGTCTGTAGCAACAGTCATGTGCGGCGCAGCACCTGCGGTAAGGAGATGTGATTTGGGCTGCTTCCCCACAGCTCCAGGGAGCCTGGTCCCCCCTGGTCTTGCCCCTTGACCCTGGGCAGAGACCCAATGACCTTGCAATGGTCTAGAGCGGAGTTTCCAACATGCTGGCTGCTTTTCCAGCTGGGACCTCCTGGGGTTCTGTGACAATGGGCAGCAGCCCTGCCTGGCAGCTTCCAGCCCTGGGGGGGCCACGAGTGGGCAGAGGGAGGCGAGGACTGGGGCAGCCTCACCGATCCGTTGCATCCTTGGGGGTTCCTCGGCCGCCCAAGCCACAGTAGCAACCATAGAAGGCATAACTGGACACAGCATCCTTTCCTGTCTTGGACTTAATCATTTTCTGGAAATCCAGCAAACTCCCCTGGGTCTGCAGGAGGCCTGGAAGGATATCGCCTGGGGATGGGGCCTGGGGCCCTGTGCCCTCCTTCTCTGCCCTTCTCTGCTACTCCCCCTCCCACTAGGGCCTCTCTCCCACCCACTGAGGGAAGGCCTTTGGAAATGGGAAGGAAAGCTGGGGTTAAGGGTGCTTTCATCTTGGGCTGCCCCCTTGTGGCCAGAGGTCAGGGTTCGCTCTTACCAAAGGCAATGGTCAAGGCCAACAACAGGAGGGTCTTCATGTCGACAATCCCCTGCGTGAGAAATGCAGATGGATTGGCCTAGACTCCTCTCCCAGGTGGCTCAATCTTCTGCCCTGGCCCCTTGCTCAGCAACCCTGGAGAAAGGAACCTTCAGGGGGACACACAGACATGCTCCTCGATCCAGGATGACTACCTTCGTCACACACGAACACACAGGAAGGTGCACACACAGGGCCTCCTGACCCTTCCCAGCTCTGTTTGACTATTTTCACACACATGCAGGTCTCAGACCCAAGGAGACCCCCACACAGTACGCTCAGGAGATGTCCACGCTGTTATGCCCAGATTTCAAGATCCCCAAAATCCCACCAGGGAGCCAGCCGAGTCCGATGCAAAAGCAAAAAGTCTTTATTTGAGCTAGCTCGGCTCCCCGACCACACTCACCGACGTAACAGCAAGCCAAGTGGCAGAGTGAGAGAACTCTGTGTGGAGAGGGGTTTTATAGGGGGTTAGAGTAAGGGGAGGAGAAAGGACGTGGGCCCTGCTGATTGGCCAGGCGCAAGTCGGCGTCTTGTTACACAGGATGTGGTCATATCTATGGTGCGCACCACCCTTGATTGTCATTGGTTAGTTTAAAGAAGTCCTGGGTGTGCCTAGCAGAGGCTTGGGCTTCCAGGAAGAAGCCTTTCCGAGCACATGGCTGCCCAAAAATGGAGGATCCAGGCTAAGATGGAGGGCGTAGCCCTTACCCTGGGGCAAGATGGAAGGCATATTCATCGCCCTTTCACATGCTCCCCATCAGACTGAGAGTTCCTGAAGGGTGCAACCAGGTCATCCCAACCAACTCCGAGACTCTCAGGGTCATAGGTTGTGCACCTCTCCCCCACCCCCCATTAGACATATCTTACTTGTTCCAACCTGATTCAAGGCTTGGGAATTCCATCTATGAAGTCCAATCTCCAATATTTTTTCCCAAAACTAAAGCACAGCATCCTCTCTTTGCAAGACTTTCCAACCCCTTACCCATATACACATGTGCAAATGCATATATAGTCACACACATATGCATGGATATACCCACTGCTGGACTCACCCACTAATGCAGACCTCCTTTCATACAATCACTCACATACTCATACAACACACTTGTGCACATCCCCCCCAAATCATGCACATGCATGTATTTGTCCATGTATGCAACAGACACATGCATAAATACACATGGACACATATGCCAACACAGCCATTCTTAAAGGCAGCCACTGAGCAGGGCCCATACTCCTGACAGGGCATGAATTTTGGGGTGTTACCTCTCAGAGAATGCTGGTGTTAATAGCTCCAAGTGCTGGTCTTGTTAAGTCTGAACTCCAGCTCCCCTTAAATAGCTGCCCCCTAGGGAAGGATGGGAGTTGGTGGGTATGCAAACGGGGTGGGAGTGCCTCCAGTGAGTGGACTCAAAGTTTGGCATGCCTATAGCCCTGGGCTATCCCCTTTTCTTCCCCTCATTAGCCTGCAGGACAGAGCTGAGGATGGAAAACAGTATGTGCTGTTAGCAGATGCCAAAATTGTAGATTATTTTGTAATCTTTCCAGGGGCCTCATTGCTGACTTCAGTCCATTCCCGTAACCAGGCACTGGGTGTGAGCACCAGTGGCCTCCCTTGGACCAGGGTCAGGAGAGGGCAGGGGCGTCCGCTGCTGCAGGCTAAGGCTCATCTACAGGCCTGCAGGCCCATCGCTGGGGCGAGGAT